CAGATTATTGACACTTGTTATCAATCAGTGTTCTCGCGTTCCTCGCTCCGCGCCCCCATCCCCCTCGCCTGCTGCCCCCCCTCCATGCTCTGACTCAGGGGGTCTGTACTTTGTGACATGCTCTATGGCTGCGCCCTTCTTTCCCGCCTCACCGACCTCTCCAGCGCCTTCCATTGGCTTTCTGCTGGCCGACCTCCCGGGCATGACAGGGCTATAAAAGCGTACCCTTTGGGCCGGATCCCTTCGGGTGGCAGGGGTAGATTGGATACTATGTCGGTGTTGTCGTCTTTGCTGCGTGGTCTCTTTATCATCCCTGTTGAGCAGTACTGATCGTGCACCTTCAGCGCCTCCGGCGCCTCCAGCCCTTGCCCCTGCTCCTCCTGGCCCCTACGGCTCCTGCGGCGCCCACCTGCACCTCAATCCCGTCACGCCCTAACGTCTGGGGGTCTTCGGCGCGGGTCTCTGCGCGCTACGGCGCCCCCCACCTGCACTTTGCTTGCCTGCGCTCGCGTTGCTCCCTGAAAGCCCCAGTAGGCGCGTATATCGGCGGAATTCTCATAGAACGTCTGCCCCATTATTTCAGTGCCGCTTAGGATGACCTCCCAATCGCACAGCGCACAATATGCCCCAAATTGCGGCCCTACGATCCCGCCCATGCTGGCCGCAGCCCTCGGCGTGTCATGCGCGCGCCAAACAGCGAGCGGGGCACCTCTCCTATTGCTCCGCCACCCGTCCGCCACCATCCGCTGCCTTCCCCGTGCGCTTATATGTATAACGCCGCCGCAGCGCCTATTTTAGCGCCCCTCTTGAGCCCTGTTGTCCGGCTTCTCGTGCGTGTATCAACACTGATTCCCTCTCATCTCTGTTGCCATCCTGCAGCTCGTCACTCCTCGCTTTCGTGCCCTGCATCTCTTGGTTCCTGCTGCATCGAATTCCGCGCTTGGGCGCTTGGTGCCTGGCTATCGCGCGCCCACTGTCCGCCTCTACTCGTTGCACATGCCCATGCACGCCCTCACCGCGGCGTCCCATTTATCTACCCCAGTGATGACTTTCGAGCGGAGGACTTCGAAGCTTGTCCTATAAATTGCGTTGGAGTTTCGGGCCCTTCCGGGCCCTTCCTAGAACTTCTCTCTATTTTTCCTGTGTATTACAAGCTTGGCAGGACTGTAATATATTTTTTACCATCACTTCCTCTTTCGAATACCCACTATCTATGAAATCGGCGAGAACCGGGTTTTGCCGGGTAGCGAAAATCTTCCTCGCTAGAACGGTCTAGTGCTCTCAGCCCAGGATGTTCCATACAGTGAAGAGAAGAACACTTCCGGAGGTGTTCTAAAGTATTTTTCTCAAAAGAAAAGAAATTTAAGCTGGGACAAGGATTTGAGTCGAACACGAGTGAAGTGCCATATAGGAATATGTCTCTGAAGAGGCACCTTTTGTGCACAGTTTCCACAGCGGCCTTCCACCCCATAAAATTGCATATCCTCGGAGTCGGAATGACTCCCTGGCACTGTTTATGATGTTTGAACAAGGATACGAACAATTCTTCAAGTTGGTCCCAGCGAGGCCGTTCTCCATGTTACCTGGGGTTTTCAGGTTCATGTTTTTTCAATTTTTTTCGACGAGTAAACTGGGAGAGTAAATATAGGATACTCTACCGGGTCCGATTTTCTTCAAACCCCCAGATGCTGGTGAACGAGCACGACTTTCATGTTCCCCGGCTGTGATGGGATCCTGTGTAACGCAGTGACACCTGTGACACTCTCTCCTTCCACCAGACGACCGACACCCGCTAAACACTCTTCACGGCCCCTTTTCCCAATCGAACTCGAGGGGTAGTACTATCTGGGCCATGTTTGCTTCCTCCGCCTGGATCCTCTGCCTGTCTAATGTTGCCGGTCCGGACATCCAGCTTCTTTCATCCGCCCGCCGATTGTCGCCATAAACAGTCCAGGAAGCTTGTACCCAGCCTTAACTATCCTCGCGCACCCTCCGGCGACCTGTGCGACTTCTTTCGTCACCTTTTTTCGCCTCGCGGTGCGCTCCATGTGCCTGTACACTCCGCGATAGCGGTCAATGCCGCACTGAGACACAGAACTGAGGAGATAAGCAAAGGAGGGCCACTTCTAGGCTACCAGGTGCGTGCGCTATATCGCCGACACATATGCTGTGTCCTCATTGCTCGTAGATCGTCTCCAGACGCTTCCAGGGCCCGTTTTTCGCCTAGTTGCGAATAATACATGGTGGCTACCGCTGTCCCTCAGCTAGCCCCATGGTCCCTCGTTTCCAACTTTCCGACATCATACGGAACACACCCCGCCCGCCGCCGCTGCTATCAGCCTCGCGCCCGAGCTCGCGGGATCGTGATGCAACGTCCCTATCGTGCACGGTGTACCAGGCGCCTATCTCATCGATAGCCGTCCTGCCATCGTTCGCCGGAGCGTCTACGTCAACGAGGAGCGCCTCCCGTGACCGCATATGCCGCTGAGCAGTGGCTACGGTACAGGCGAGTCCCGGGAGTAGTGCAGCTCGCGCTCGGGTATCAGCGGGATTAGGGGTATGCTCGGCAGCACAGTGTACTCCACTTTGCACTGCGCTGGCGGGTGATATACCTACTACGCCACGAGGTACCCGGAGCCTCAATAAACGCCCACCCCGTAGCCCGCAGCGTCGCGCGCCCGCGGTATTCATGGACACCGAGTCGAGGGCGTAACGCGTACCGCGTCCTGGGCTGTCGTCGACTGCAGGTCGCCCGCCCTGACCGCATGGGCCGCGCGCAACAGACCCGGACCGGGCATCATATCGTGCTGCGCCTGTGCGTGTACCCGAGCTCGCAAGGCCCTATCCATGCACCAGGCGGCCATGGGTGTTCGGCGGATCAATGCGGCGAGGCCTACATTGCTATGATATCCTCACGCGTCGGCCGTGAGCCTAGATTTGAGCGGCGACACAAATGCCGGCGGGATGTAGTGTATTCATGTAAAACTGTGTTTTCGGGTTGTTCTATGTAGGACTATAATATTTATGGTGCGCTGTGTACCCTACGCATCGGCCCCACCGTCCCTAATTTTTTCGCTATTTTTGAAGCATATTTTGTGGTCGCCGTCGCCGGCTACATCGAGAGCCTTTGATCGCTGTCTTCCAAATGCGGATATTTGAGCTCGTCGTGCAGGACAGCGACGGCAGTGAGTTGATGGACACCAAATGTGGGGAGAAATGCCTGTGGTCTGATATATCATTCAGCACGCTGAGTTATCGGTCTGGATATATCACGGACTTCAGGTGATTGTCGGGGGTTGATATATCACACCCCCATGCTAAGGTCCGAGATGGCCCGTGAAGTCAGGGAGATTGTTGGAAGCAGGCATGGAATGAAGATATGAAAGCAAAAGAAGATAAGAGACAAAAGGACAGCAGGAGAGCAAGTAGAGAGCAAAGGCCACGGTCAACGTGGTGGTAAAGAAGAACAAAGTGTTAGGGGCAACGTTAACTGAGTCGCCCCGCGGAATCTTCATGCGCCAGGAGAAAATTTGCTTCCGCTTGCCTTCCGCGACATGTGCGATCGGGCCAGTGCCACGAGCCCGTAGCGATCAGGTTGGTCATGTAAACTGTTGAAAAAGAAGCGTTAGGTTTGAGAAACGAGTCGAATCGAGCTATTGAGACATGGTGACCTGGTCTTGATGGTCCAGTGATGGTGATTGGAGACAAGCGAGATGATTTGAGATCCAACTTTCGGCTCCGCATGGACGGCATCTCGGCAATGGCGTCATTGCCACCGCTTTGTGAATCGATGGGAGATGCACTTAGTATTAGATTTGGGTCAACTGCGCGTTGGTATGGGAGTCACCCCCTCACATCTGCAGTTTTCTCCCGTCAAGATGGAAAAAAACTCTGTGCAGCCCGAACATCCTAGCGCCTGGACGCGAACCAGGATCCTCTCCGAATAATCGATCTACAATGTCATCAACCCAAAACTTGAACCACATTGAGCCTCATATATCCACATTTTGCAGGCGGGATCCAAAAACGTCTCTAGGACATGTTGGCGACCTAGTCTGGATTTATACCGGCGGGAAAACGTGGGCAGCTAGACTGGCACTAGATGCATGCGCGACACCTTCCGCAACGAGATCTCTTTCCTACAGAACTCATACCTCATACATACAGTGCTTTCTGCAAGCGAGATGATAGAAATGCTTGACACCCGTCCCTCCAGAATGACCTAGCCTGAGTTTGAACCAGGAATGCCTGCTACTGTACTATTTCGACCAAGTGTTCATTAATTTCATAATTTTCAGTCACCGAGATGGCCGATAAAATTTCTTTTGAATTGTCGCGATTTTTCACAGCCTCAGAAAAATCGGCCGTCACGCGTCACCTGAACACTCGGTTGAAATAGTACAGTACATGTCAACGGACACCACCAGCTGGTTTACAGGTGCGGCCTTCCGCCACGAGGTCTCTTTCCCATGAAACTCACCCCTTGTACATGCCGATTTTTGTGCGAGCCGATAGTCATGAAAAAGATAATAAGCAAGCTTGATACGATTTTCTGTGGCGGTGATCCAAAGCGCTGTCCGGCTGAGATACGACTCAGCCCGGTACCTTTGAATTCGCCCTCAGATATGGAGCGTCGGATGATAAAAAAATCCTACACGCGATTCAGCTGCACGACCTAGCCTGGATTCGAATCAGTAATGTCTGCTGGATCATCTGAATCTTTCCAATGGAAACAGGTGAGATCCTCCGCCACTAGGTCTTTTTCACACAGAACTCACCTCTCATAAAGCTGTCTTTGTGCAGGCGACACGATAAAAAAATTATAGCTTTCGGCCGCCATGTACGATGTAGCCTGGATCTCCCTCATGTGATGACTTTATGTCCATCCATACACAGTGAAGATGCGATGCCTTCCACCACCAGGTGCCTTTCCGTGAAGAATATCCTCGCTATATGCCTTTTGAAGGCCAGGTAATAAAAATGTGGGTCTCCCTGACGTACGACCTAGCCTGGAGTCGAACCAGGAGTGCCTGCTGCACTTCATCGTTTATTTAATTTATGCAGGCGCAATACCTTCCGCCACTAGGTCTAGTTTACCCTGCAACTCATCTCTCATTTCTGGAGCTATTTCGGCAGGCCAGATGATAAATGCTACGCGTATGGAGGACCACATTGCACCCTCAAGTACTAACCTCAAGCCCGGTCCATATATCGTAGGGGGTTCCTGTTTTGATTTCAGTCTCGATGGTAAGTCTTCCCAGTTGAATTTATTTTTTGGACCCCGAACCGCACAGATGGCCTTTTATATACTTCCTAGCGCGTTGCCTTTGATGCAAGATCAACCACGAGCGGCTTTTAAGTTTTGAGGACAATACTGGGCCTTGGGGAAATTGGAAAGTAATCTGAGGTGGTATGTTCAAGATATTCTACGGCCGGTGGTGCTGCCGAGTGGACCACAGTCGTTTTGGGTGTCAGGTTTGCCCGCAAAAGCGCGTCGTGTCACAGCGTGGAACTTCATGTGATGTGACGATGGAATCACGAAGGCTGTGCTTTCTGGTTGAAAATCTTTTTTCAAGTTGGGCGAGTACGGGTTTTGCCAGCCGCTCTATACCAGTAAAAATCTTATTGTAATTTTTTCTTCTGTTTCCTACACAGCATCTGGTCGCTCTCGTTCAGCATGAGTGGTAAAATTGTCCGTTGGTGACGTCGAGATAACAGTCTGTGTCCGGCGGATCTCACCCCATTTCTGTCAAGAGATGTCTTGAAAGCCCCTTCGCGAGATATTTTGGGCTTGTCAACTGACCATGCGGCAGCACACTTCCTCCGCGCATTGAATTGTACGGCAGCATGACGTTTAGGCGCCGCCTGTTGGGTTACTGATTGCTGATTGCGGCGCTCTGCCCCCACCGGACCATTCATTCGGTGAAGTCTAATTTATAACACACGTTGCCTCCGATTTTCGGAACAGAGTGGATGTTAGGTACCTTCATATCATCCCAGGCAGCCAGCCCATCGCGAAATTGAACACACACTATTCATCCGGGGCCCATAAAAGTATTCCTGTCATGGCCATCGTGACGGCAGTGCTATCCCTCAATGAGGAAATGAATAGCTCCACAGATCACGTCGTGCAAATCAACACCCGAGGTGACATGAGAGTAATATAGTTTCCCTTGCTGCCCGACCATGTCGATGCAATGTCCACCAGCTCCACTGCTCCACTCTTCGCGACCGCGGTGAAGTTGGTTCCTAGTACTATGAGGCCCCGACATGCTCTTGAATCGCGGGAAAATGTGGCAGAGCACAGTATAAAAGCAGGGCAACTCTACTTCTAATACTCACTCGAACACATCCCTCTGTCGTTCAAACTCATTCAATAATGTTCTCCAAACTCTCTGTCGTTGTCACTTCGGTGCTCATTGTACGCTACCATTCATATTTCGGGTCTCCATCGTACTGATCAATTATTTGCGCAGACCCTTGCTGCCGCCAGACCTTGGGACACGCCCCCGGTCACTCCCCCCACCTCGAACCAGTGCTGCGACAGCGTCCAGTCGTCCAGCAGCAGCGCCGCCGGTGTGGTCGCCGCCCTCCTCGGCCTCGACCTCAGCGGCCTCGATGTCCCCGTCGGCTTGAGTTGCAGCCCCATCACCGTCATCGGCGACAACTGGTTAGTACTATTAATTTCCGAAACGAGTCCGAAGCTGACGCGCACTGCCAGCGGTTCAACCTCCGTTACCTGCGACACGCCCGACGAGGCGTGGGGCGGCCTCATCGCCATCAACTGCATCCCCATCACTGCTTAAGTGGCGAGATCTGTGAAGGGTGGAAAGGAAATCTCGGTGTTGATGTTGAGAGATTTCTGTTGAACTTTTGTAATTTCTACGTTCTGGCGATGTTCAATGCCGCGAATATAAGGTCTTTTGTTACTTCTTTCCGCGTACTGAGATGCCGTCAACTTGTTATGGTCAAGTTGGTTGGAGGCCCGGTATTCTTCCACCATGCAGCAAACGAGGATTCAATTTGTTTTTCTCTCTTCTTATTTGCCGATGACCTTAAGCATAGTTTCGCCGTCCGCTGGTGACGATCAGGGAGGCAATCCACGCAGTACTCGGCTTGCAGGAATGTCCGAAACTTCGACTGTCGGGCCGTAAATGACTGCCCAGGGGTCGGAGACTCTTCCGCTATCTTATCCCTCCTCCTTGGAGTGCCGGGGTACTTGTATCAATATCCTATCACATCGTCTCAATTTCATTGGGCTCTTCGGATTGTACCTCCCTCTCCTTGCATGCCGTGAGCTGGAAGAGTTTGACTTGATGCAACCCGCACCCCGTGGGCCAAGTCGTACGACTCAAAAAAAATGCCCCTCCTTATCCGGATGACCCACTCAGGAATCGAACGCGCCTGTGCTAAATGTCTCCACGGACAAGAAGGATAATCGTTCGCAGATGCGCACCAGCGCCAGCACGGTGTTTCTCCACGTCTTGCGCACCACGATTCATTAATTCCTTTTACGTGGTTCACTTGTGGTCTGCTCCCGTTGAAAGAATCATCTGAGAAGATTCATGCCCTGCCCCCGAATCGATCGTTTCACCCCGCCCACAAAATAAACAACGAATAGTTCTGTACGGGCGATAAAATACTTACTCAAGCGCAGGAAGCAACGACCGAGCCTGGATTCGAGCCAGGTCATACGTGCGATCCTTGTCCGCTTGGCTCTACAAGTTACATGTTAATTCGCATTGTATGAAATATATTATTGCTCAGGCGATGTGGCCCGCGGAGCCGCTTCATGGCATATTATACGCCCCACGAGACCACGACCTAGCCTGGATTCGAATATCTCCTGTAAAGTTTACAGGGAAGGAGTTCACTGCAGGCAAGTGCGATTCCCTCCGCCACTAGGTCTCCGTCCCTTTCAATTAGCCTTTCATATATGCAGCTCCGAGTCTTTCGGCCGGATATGGTAGAAAAGATTGGTTTTGCCGCCGCGGCCAGCGACATTTGAGATCTAGGTCAGAGTCCAGACATGCCACGCCGCAAGCCCTCCGAGTTCATTGAAGTGGAAGGAGGTGGGGCGAACCAGATGTGGTGGTTTGAAAAAATGAGAGGAGTGTTTGAGCCCGTTTGAGCCAAGGCGAGATGATGGATGGCCGACTTTCAAATCCACGTGCTGGCGGCATCTCGGCGGTTGCGTTCCCACCCATAGTTTTTCAACCAAGCACCGGCGGCCCGTCTTTATGGCGGTTTCAATTGGGGATGAGCAGTGCCATACCGTACCCGTCCCACACATTGATTCGCGGGAGTCTCTACGATGGTGTCCCGCCTTGGGCCGTAAGAGACGGATTGGCCCGCGTTCCGGAGATTTTTCTGTCGAGTTGCAGTCAAGTTTCGGTTGTGTTTTGGGATCCCGGATTAACTTTGCAGCTATTATGAAGGTCAGAACCGCATACGTCGGTCACGGAAACTGATTACTTATCGAAACGGAGACCTTCTGACCTCCCGCCTCATGGCAACAGAGATCTTTGCCTTCCTTGTGATATTCGTAAGCATGTTTTAGAGGGCACCGGATCGCGCCCCTGACGACGCATCCTCGACGCAATCCTTGATCCAACGGCCTGAGCCAAGCCTGAGCAGGTAAGCAGGTATAAGAAGGCGCGGGCCCTGGCTCCCCGTTCTAAGTAGTTTTCGTCTCTCGTTCTCGCCATGTTGATCACACATCGCATCCTCGCGCTTGCACTCGCGCTAGCCCCCAGCGCGTACGCTGGGTTCTCCGGGAAGACCACTCGAATTATGCCCCTCGGTGGTGCGTCCCGAATATTCTCAGTGCAGCCCGCCTCGCGCTAACCAGTGACTCTATGTTCAGCTTCTATCACGTTCGGCGTCGGCAGCAGCCACGGGAACGGATACCGCGACGACCTGTACAACCTCCTCGCCGCGGACGGCAACACCGTGAACATGGTCGGCTCGCAGAAGGGCGGCGACTTCTTCGACCCGGACAATGAGGGCTACCCGGGCTTCGTCATCACGCAGGTAAACGACAAGGGCATCGCCGCGATGCCCGTGTACCGTCCCAACATCGTGACCTTGCTCGTCGGCACGAACGATATGCTGCAGAACATCGATCCCGCGGGCGCGCCCGCCCGGCTGTCCACCCTGATACAGAATGTGCTCGACGCGCCGCCGCTGACCCTCGTCGTCCTCGCCACGCTGCCGCCCAACGCGAACGCGGACGCTAACACGCGGATCAACGCGTACAACGCGGCGCTCCCGGGCGTCGTGGCGAACTTCGTGAATGCGGGGCGCTCCGTCGTGTTGGCGGACTGCCACGCGGTCGTCGCGGTGGGCGATTTGGTAGACGGCACGCACCCCAACGACGACGCGTATGCGCGCATGGGGAAGGTATTCTACGATGCCATACAGGTAGCTTTCGCGAAGGGGTGGATCTTCGATGTCGATGGGCCGCCGCCGAGGCGGTGAGCAAGCTGAACGAATGGATTCCGCTCGCTGCTACTGCGACGCGCTATTTATTTGCAAATTAAATAATGTATTCTCGAGTGAACTTACGTTCTGATTCAGAAGCAGAACTTGATCCACGCTCCTGAGTCAACACCACCCCTCATCCCGCTCCAAAAAATGACAAATATATGAGGGGCCAATTCGACAGAAAAAAGACCTAGTGGCGGAATGAATCGCACCCGCAGTTTGTAGTAAGAACATCCGAGACAATTATTCGAAGGAGTTCTTGGTTCAAGTCCAGGCTAGGTCGTATGCGGTTCAATGAACTTTTTGAAAGTCTGGCCTGCCAAAGCCTCCATATACGAGGGGCGAATTCAGAGAGCAGGAGATCTAGTGGCGGAAGGACTCGCACCCCCGATCATTACGAGGTAACCCACCAACTATTCGAGGGAGTCCCTGGTTCGAATCCAGGCTAGGTCGTGGCGTGCGAGGATAATAGACATTTTTGCTGCCAAAACTTGCACATAGGCCGGATATATGAAGAGCCATTTTAGATGGAAGCAGACCTAATGGCGGAAGAAAACGCATCCGCAATTATTCCTAGAAAAATTCACCTACTATTCGAGGGAG